GAGAATAATACAACAATATTTGAACAATAATATAGCAGAAACCCAACAGCACATATCATACAATGTTGAACAATAAGTAAGAGAACAAATATACAGACTTTATAGAGACAACCAAAATCCGAGGCATGTTAATTCTTTGTAAATGTATGCATAAGAATTTTCTATTAGCAAACGAAATCGTCTAAATGTGCGTTTTTTAAAGTTTTTGATGGAATAACTGACATTATTGCTTATCGTGAAGTCATTCTATTAGTGTATGCAATCTTTATATATATATATATATATCGCTGAGAGTAACTTGTCATTACATTAAAATCATTAATTCGAGAAATGTTGCAACAACCAAGTCAATTAATTTATGACGATCATCGTTGTCACATAGAAATTTCATGTATTGTGCCATTTTATTTCGTTACATTATTCAAAATTCTTGTAATAACCTACACAGCAGATGTGCACTAGTTCAGCCAGACTGGGTGCCAAACTGAATACCCAGTTCATCAGTCTATGAGTTAAAGACTAGGTCTGGTTGGCATCTAACGTATATGATATTTAGCAGTTATAAAACAAAAATCAGTAGGTGCTGATTCAGAAGCACTAAATATGCACCCGCTCCGTCGATACCCAGTCGATCAGTCAGAACTGGGAATGGTACATAAACATTGCACAACGAGCAAGTGTCCGAGCGAGCAAATGTCCGCGCGCAAGTGTCCGTGCGACCAACTGTCCTAGACCCATTCGAGTACTACCCAACGAATTCAGACCGCGCCGAATATGTAGATAGTTGTTCAAGTAGGTCTTGAAGGAGATAGGCGATTATTTGAGTTTAGATATTTCCAAACATCATTTAGAAAGTCTGTTGTCTTTCAGATTTTGAGTGATTCACTTCATTGCCTGTAGAGCTATTATAGCTAACCTTGAAAATCCTTCTTTTGGTTTACTTCTACTCCCTAGGTTTATTAATTAACTCAAAATGACTACGTTCAAGATCGAACTCAAAGCTAAACGTTTGGAGTTAGTGCATGCCTAAGCTGAGGCTTGAAACGTTCGCGCTGATTTATGCTAACACTATGTAGGTGTTATGGAAGAAAGGACCTCTTATGAAAGTTTCGTCTAATTTGGAACTGTGAAAAATTGTGCAAGCTCATTATTCGAATTCCAACCAGATTAAAGCAAAAATTCGTTTTTCTTTCGCGAATCGATAGACTGAAAGACGCAGTTTCAGATTATATATATAATTTTCTCCGAAATGTTTTCTTCTTATTGTTTTTTTTTATTCATTGACGGTCAAAAAGAGGCTCCTAATTCTTACTAGCAGCATTTTTTGACGAAGCTTTCCGACTAACATTAACACGAAGAACAAAGACTTTTATGCCATTAAATAATCCATATGTCAGAGTATATGTTGCTCACAGTTCCGTCACAGACCGTGACAAGCATCACCTCAAATATTGTGTTTCATATTTTGATCGTACAGAGATTATGCTAATAGTTTTTGTTTTATCTTAGGCCTTTCAATTTGGTCAGGTATATCATCGTTATCATTATCTTTATCACAAATTGAAGATCGTTTAACATTTTTACATACTGTTGCCCCATCTTATAATCGTAAACATCTATTTGTACGTCGTTATGAACTTGATTTACGTTTGAATGAATTAGAAATGTTAAAAAATGATTTATTAACAGTAACACAATTATTAAATCATCATTTAAGTGAACTTTATTCATTAGATGTTATTGATGAATGGTTTGATCTTTATATAACGCCTATATTAGGACGAATTAATGCCACTTTAATTGAATTTTCACCTATACGCAATCAAACATCATGGTCACGACGGCCGTTTATCTAGTCGAGTATTGTCATATGATAATCATGCCTATAATAATCTCAATTTTTTTTTTTTAATTTGGTTTGTTTTAAACAACAAATGAATGAGTATGCTCTATTTCTACACATCTGATTTTTTTTTTACTTCATTTATAAGTAATGATGCAGTTTAGTTTTCTTATTTCTATGGTTTTAAAGTGTTCTTTTTTTTTTGAAATAATAGTCGACATAATAAATGGATTTGTTTTTCGATTAAGCTTGATAATAAAAATTTATGTTATCCAATGAAAAACGACAGACGAGTGTCAGATTTTTGAATAAAATATTATGTAATCGTAGCTGATTGACAGATAATAGACTTTCCAATTTTTATTTCATAAATTTTTTGTTTCGACTTTTCTGATCTTATAATGTCGCGTATGATCCGACGAAAACTGTATAGAAAATCGTAGTCTCACAAGTCTTATGTAAATTCGTATTATAAGATTATAGTACACCTGAAGTGACGGTAAGATCTTTCAAGATTGTTATAGTGCAATTTCATCTAAGATTTCTGAGATTACGATTTTTTTGATCTGGAGACTGGTGTTGGTTCTGATCTGACCGGTAATTATCGGCCGACTGGCCGATTTAAAATTTGTACTGGTACTGGCTCTATCTCTGGTGTCATCAATAACAAACTGTACTTTTTCTTTCTGTGCAACGATCTGAAAAAGATTTGGCTTTGGGAATAATACTTTGCTATTTGAATTAGTTTTTGAACAAAAATTAAATAAACAGTTTGTGTTTTGGTAACGGCTGCCTAATTACAAACTATTTATATTAGTTCTGCCCGAAAGCAAATCGACATCCAAATAGTAAAGCTGTTTTTACTAACTCTTTAAAATATCTTAGATTTGTTCTACTCCTCGAACACGTCTATAAGATTCTGTTTGACTACTTATTAATTTCGAATAAAAAACGGGAAGTTCGAAATATGCAATCAATTATGACTAACAACAGAATATGACAGGAACATCATTCAATTACGATAGTTTTCAGTATAAATTTAATATAATTTATTGTGAATTCCTGCTACGTGTTATTTAATCGGAAGATAAGTCTGCCTTTTAGATTTTTATGATATTAAGAATTATATGCTGCCCTTTATGTAGTTAGGAGATGATTCGAAGTGTGTTTTATGATAGCTTGATCGACAATAAAGCTGACTAGGTGTTGAATAATGAAATACTTATAGTCTTGAAGAGGCTTGAACAAAAGACAAAAAGATTCAGGGTATCAGAAAAAAATGCACACACTATGTTCATGTAGAGTGTCGATTAGTTGCCTCTGAACCTGTTAAAGACTAACAGTTTTGTTCAAATTTTCATCTTAATAATCATTTGTATGAGTAAAGTGATTTTACACGAGTATTTTTTATGTTAGACACAAATGTCGATGTACGAAATGTTCAAAAATGAATTGAATAATCTTTTTTATTTTGAATCTTAACAGATGTAAATAAGAAAATAATAATTTATTTATAACATTTAATGAAATTCATCATCAAATCTAAAAAACATATACGTAAAATAATGACCATGAATGAATAATTATTTTGTTTGAGTCATGAGGATTTATTGTTGGCAACAATTTTGTATAGAATTTACATGACACTGTTACTTTCTTGCCATTTGATGAAATATTAAACATATGTATTTAATGACAAATGAATTATTTCTAGAATGTTGTGTAATGTTTGTTTCTTTGCGCTGCTAATGCGATATTCTTTCATCATATTAGATGGATTTCAGTTGGGATCAATGAAAATATGAAAGAAACATTTACAATTAACTTTTTTCATCTAAACTAATAATTAGAAAAACAAATACAAGCAAATCGATGTATTATTTGCCCAATTTTGATGACAATATATCAGAATTAATGCTTGAGAAAAAAAATAAAATCTGACACTTAAAAGTTTTCATATCAATGGTGAATGAGTTTTTTTGTCAATATCGGGAAGATATCAGTATAATTTAAGTAATTAAAATAGAGACATATACATTCATATTGTCTAAACTGGAAACTTTGATTAATACTCGTTCGATCAAAAATATTTTATTCATACGTTTTTTCTCTATGATGAAATTTTTGTCATGCGTCATGAACTAAAAAAAAAGTTCTTTCGTTATTTATCGAAATCGTTGATATATTTTTACCCTAGTAAACCTTACATTATCAATAAGTCATATGAACAACATAGATGGAAATTGACGAAAAAAAATGCGATGAAAAGTCAATAGAAAAAATGACGACAGAAATCAAACATTTGCTCTTGTATGAATGGAAAATGCTAATATTTGCATATCTGTATTTTTGTTTTTTTACTATTGATAAAAAAAATGAAAACACCCGTGCAGAACTAAAAATTTTTCAACAAATCATTCTATATTCTTTTTGAGTGGAAATTTATTAATAACAACTTCAATGTTTTCAATTATTGTTTTTCTTTTTTATACTTATTTTATTTCTGTTGATGGTGCAATAGTTCGTAGCGATTAAAAACAATAATAAACGACGCAAATTACAAAAGAGAGAAATTCTTATGAGAAAAAACAATTGCAAATGAAGGATAACAGAGGATAAACTATCGAATCAGTGTGCATTTTTATGTGTCATGAAGAATATCATGAGTCAATTTCTTGATATGAAATAGGGAGAGAGAAAACAAACTCATCAAGTGATAGCATAATGAAAAAAGAGAAATAAAATTCATGAATCAGTCCATACCCTTATTATCAACATATCTAGCTATCAATGTATGAATAACGGATCTAGAGTCTATAGATTATGAAATAAACGAGATTACTTGTGCGGAGCTCGACAAAGAAAGAGAAGAAAAAAGAAACAAAAAACATGTATAAACAAAATACCCGTCACAGTGGTTGCTTAATGCTGCCTCCCTTCGTCGAATAAAAAGAAAAAACAACAAAAAGGGGCTATCATTTCTCTTCTATATATGTGGCTGATTTCACAGTATAAAAGATCTCAAAAAAAAGCATTCATACAACACTATGGGTTTCACTTTTTGCAAGATTTAATTGTCGTGTGTCATTGTATTTAGTTCTATTAGCATCAAATCAAAAATTATCAGTAGGTTCTTGTATCTCACGTTTTCTTTTGGATGAATGATGTTTTTATCCTCTATCTTGCAGTGCAGTGTATTTTACCACAGAGTCAAACGACACCAGAAAAATGTCTGTCTAATCCTTGGCATGGCAAAGGTTTTTGTGAACCTAATCAATACAAATCAGCCATTGATCGTTGTGAAGGTGGACATAAATCATGTGACTTAAGCATTGAAATTTATAAAGAACTTGTTAAAGTTCTAGAACATTGTTCTGAGTCATTACGTCAATGGTCATTGACAAGTCAAAGAAAAATTGTTCAATCAAAAGAATTTGGTACTACAAGAGCAGCATGGATCGAGTCTATACAAGCAATTGAAAAATTAGCTGAAAGAAATGAAGATATAACTAAAAATATTCAACATCATGTTATTGATAAAATGGTTGCTTATAAACATTCAAAATATGAAAGATCATTTCTTCATTTGAAAAAAGTTAAAGAATTCGAAAAAGATTTTAAAAAAGTACAAAAACCATGGTTGGAATTATTAAATAAAATTAATGAAGCAAAACAAGAATTTCATCATGCAAGTCGTAAATTACATCATGCTAAACGAGCAGAAAATGTTATTAAAACAGATTTAGGTACTACTGATGAACAGAAGAAAAAAGTAAAAGATAGTGTTCATCATTATGAATCTGAAACAGAAACATGTAGAAGTACATATTCTAAATTAATGGAAGATATGAAAGCAAAACAACCAGGTTATCAAGAAGAGATGTTTAAAATACTATCTCGTACAGATGATTTTGAACGAGACCGTTTAAATCAATTTAAATTAATGTTCAATGCTCTTCAAGAAGCAATATCCATTGAAAACGATGCACGGCATACTGAAATGTCTGACTTATTTAATAAAGCAATTGGCAGACATAATATTAATAGTGATATTGAATATTTTAATAAACATTACGGCCGTGAAACAAAAACCAAATGGCCCGTTTTTGAAGATGTACATGAATCATGCCATTCTCTATAGACATAAATATAAAAAAAATCAAATAGCAAGGCATATCGAGAGAAGAGAATTGAGGAAGAACACTTCTTATGTAGTCTTTCATGTGATCCTTTTTTATCAGCATATTTTTTAAAAAGTGCTGGAAAAAATTTCAACAAAACAAATGAAGAACCGATAAGAACTTGTCTTCCTGCGATCTCCTCCCTATATGTTAAACCTTGTTCTAATTAATTGTGTGTTTTTTCTTTGTGTCTATCGGCAAGAATATTCATTTTTATCTAGATCTTCCTAATTTTTTATACTCTCAGTGTGGTAATTTTAATTCAGAAAAAAAAACTATGAGTTATTCATATTACTCTATTTTGCTATTTTTCTTCAGTAGTTAGTAGAAACAAATGTATTATTTACGAAATATAACGATTTGTACATTTTTTTTTGGCATTACAACCAGCAGTGTAACCAGGATTTTTATACCAATGGACAAACTTCTCTTGTGTTTACAGATGATTTTTCAGCATAGCATGCAAATGTTGCATGTTTGTCACTATTTAAATCTGACATGAAAAGAAAATTTTAAAATCAATAAAATTTTTTTGTTTTCGTTTTTTTATCTTTTATCGTAAGCCATATTCATTTCGCTCGAATATTATGTGTAAAAAGTCTGTGAAGCTCATTTTTTTTTAATATATGAAGAAAAATATACGATAAACTTTTTCTTTTTATGAAACAATTGTTAAAAGCTTTTAGAACAAATAATGTAGAAAGGCATAAGAGGGCAATTAAATCACGTCGAAGGTCTTTTGCTAACATTTATGTAGAAAATCAAGGCTTTTTACTAGAACAATAGTAATTTACTCAAAAATCCGGTTTCTGTGTGTCAATTTTTTTAAAAAAATACACCGAATTTCTGGAAAGGTTTTCGGAAAATCCATGACCTTCTATTGCGCCTTATAGAATTCTTCTTGTGGGTGGCATTCTAATATAGGACGACCTTTTATTCTAGAAGGATTTAGATTGTCTTCAAGCAAAACTAGAATTTCAGTTTTGTACAAACGTAATTAGAATTAGACTAGCAGTAAATTGATCATGTTGAAAACAGTTCGAGTTTAAACAGAAAAGGAGCTTTTTTAATATTTTGCAAAGTGTTTTTTCAATCGAACAAGTTACACTTCATATTATCTTAACTCATTGTTCAATATTTTTAGACGATTCTACTTTAGAATGACATACAGTCAAACAAAAAATTTCTACTTTGTTAAATGAATATTGGTCTGTGCAGCATCTTTCTTTACAGGCACTTGTCGTTGCACAAACATGAAGTTTATATGCTTCATTCATTGTAATATCTCTTATATTATCTATGATTACTTGTTATAATTCTTTTGTATATGCTGATTTTAACTCAATTAAATCTCCAACTGCTAGTGTTTTTCTAATTTACCGTACTGTTTCATATAAACGACACTTTGAAAAAGAAAAAAAATAGAATGGGAAAGAAACCTCGTTTTTGCTCAGACTCTAATTGTTTTCGATCTAATCAAGTTACCATCTAATCCAATTTTAATTACAATCAGACAAAACTGGAAATTTAATTTCATCCGAGTCGAAATAAATGTAATCTGTGATATCAGCTTTTTCTTGATTTTATGAAGATTTATGTTGAATGAATAAAACTCGTAAAACAGGCCTTTCTCTTATTCACATCCAACCTCGAAGAGCTGTCCTGTTGTTCGAGAATTGGAAGACAAAATCATAAAATGCGTCGTATTGTCGATTCATAATGTCAAAGGGAAGAAATTTTATATTCACACTTGAAAGTTTATGGGAAGCATATTGAAAAGAAACACTGAAGAGAGAAACATATGCTTGTACGTGTGTGAAAGGAAGAAGGTGAGAATGACGCTGAAGTACTGGTGAGAAGATCAAGTATTTTCGTTCTGTTTCGTCGCTAGTGACACAGCAGACGAATGATCGATGACAGAAATCTAAACTGTCTATTCGTTGCATTCACTGTTTCATCTATTGCAGCAATCTGTAGCAGTTCTGTGCAAGATGCCATGATGTGTAGTAGAATAGTGCAATTTATTTTCTGAATGAAAATCAAAGTATAAGATATTGTTCGTGCAAAAGCATAAGCTCGAAAAATTTTAGAGCCACACAGAATTACATAAATACTCTAAACAAAATATTGTTGTTGAAATTTTTCGAGAATTTTATAATTTTATATAATCCAATCATAGTATTGTTTTGTAGAATGGATCCGAAGAAAAATTTGAAAACTTTGCTGGACTACAGTCCATTTCAAAACATCTGTTATTGTAATAATATCTTCTCTGTTTGTCAAAGAAGAAACATACATATAATTGTTTCGAAAAATAAATTTCATCACATTTCTTTCACAGAAAATCGTATAAATGATGTGTCAATTAAACATAAATAAAAGTATGATGATGATCTCAACAACGAGCGATCTACTAGCGCTAGATATTTCTTTCATCTTCACCAAAATATTCATCATTATAATTAAGTAGTTTATTGCATTTCGATGTAAATTTACTCTTGAATTTAGAATCAAATAGTTGAACCAACTGTAGAAAAATAAATCATAATGGATAAACAGCAAGATCTCGTTATTGAATGCTAAGATAGACATTTTTTTTATATTTAACAAATACTTTCAATTTCCACAAAAGTGAGTTTTGAAAGAATTTTTCGAGAGGGTAAAAACCCAATGGATCGATCAGTTGGAAATAATTATTTCTCAGATGAATCGATAAGTTTACTTTTATTCTTCTTTCTGCATCTTGACTCATGATTCATGAGTCATGAAACTTTTGTGTTCTTGTATAAAGGCAGACTATGCTGTTATAAAAAAAAACCCAACTATGCTGTTATAAAAAAAAACCCAACTATAAACGCTTTTTTATTCATTATAAAAAGTGCTGATTTCAACGATTATATTTTGTTAGAAATTTTTCGAAGCAATAATCGATAAACATGTTGCATTCTCAAGACGCAGAAGAATTAAGTAATGGTAGTGATACAGAGATCAGCGATAGCGAGGTAAGCAATCATTGTTAAGAATAATTTTCTATTTCTAATGATCATAATTTATACAGTTTGTTGAATATGAATATGTATTTGCTGGACCAGAAAAGAGTCTGAGTAAGTGATAACTAACGAGTGACGAATCAAGAATGGTGGTCTGAATGTACTGAGAACATCTCAGCCTGTTTTTGCTGCTTAGCCTTGAGTTCTTTACAAAAAAGATTTAATTTGTAATTCTGCATAAAATGACAACTTTCATGAAAAACAATTTTTTTGCTTCTATGATTGAAATTAAACAAAGATACAGCTTGAATTTTTCAGAATCTCTAGTTCTTAAAGGTTTTCACCGAAAAACATATTAGCCCATGTATCACTGCGATTTTTGGTCCTAATGCAGCTCCAGCGATTTTTTTTTCTACCATTTTCTTTCAAACTTTACTCACTGAAACGAACTGTTGCATTAGATGAGCTAGGAACACGTCGCAAGCTAAAGTCATAATGACATATAGATTAAGCTACTTTTCAAAAACAACCTTAGAAAAATGAAGATTTTGAAAAATTTCAGTCATATCTTTTTTTCAGTTTTAATCGTAGAAGAAAAAACATATCGTTGTATGCAGAATTACATACCGAATCTTCTGGTGAAAAGTTTAAAGTTAAGGAGTGGAAGCGGACCAAAACGTTCTCAAGATATTGAGACCATCATTCTTTATGCGACACCCATTATTATACCACTGTCGAAATACATAACATCCGAATGTATTTGTTGTTATAGTGCCGGAACTACCTCTTGAAAAAGAAGTGTCTGAAAATGACATTCGATCGGCAATAGAAAAATTCGCACAAAATTTTGACGAAGTTTATCCAACACCAGGACCTGCACTATATATGGGACCGCTCCATGAAGCCATGAATGATTCATTATTGGATCCTGATCCTAGCAAAGTAAGTTTTGAATTATTTTATATCACAGATTGAAAGAATTTGTTCGTTTTTCTTTTTATCTATAGCGACGTCCTTTGTTACTCTATTTGCATCGGAATAATACACCATCTACACATTTATTTTGTAAAAATGTACTTTGTAACCGTGAAATTATCAATTATATTGAAAGCAATTATCTTGTCTGGGCATGGGATTGTACAAAAGATGCTAATTATCAACGGTAAGTGAATTTAGAACTGAAACGTAAAAGCATATCGCCATTGAAATCGAGATGATCAGATTCGAATGATACCTTATGTTTATGAATATCGATATGGATTTTTTAAATAGGTTTCTATTGATGTTACTTGAACATGCTGGTCCCAATGTTACAGCAACAGTGGTTACAATACCTATTGATGAATATCCACAGTTGATCTGTCTTTTATACGATCAAGATCAAGTCAATGCTATTAAAGTCATTTACAATCCTGACGACTGCACGTCTGTAGATGAAATATACATGCGTCTTCTTAGCATAACAGAACGATTCAATTCTTCAATGGAGATACTTAAGGATAAAATTCAAAGTTTTTCTATCTTGTCCTCTTGTAGTTGGTCACCTCCAACAAGTCAATTGCACATTCTCAATCAACAAACAGATGAGTTTCGAAATGTTGCTAGTTATTTTACGAACGATCATTGTCAAATCATTTGTATTGAACGAATTAAAAATGAAAGATGGTGTACGACTTATCAAAAAGAGAAGAAAACAATTGATGAACGCCTTCATTTCACTCAAACTGATCGCGTTCTTTTTCATGGTTGTCTACGAACAGCTTCTGAAGAAATTTTACAACGAGGATTTCACCAAAAAATTGTCGGTATACATGGTAAAACGAAGACAAATTTATTGAAAAGCATTTGCATCAATATTTTTCGTTATTCTAGGTACAGACTACGGTGACGGATTCTACTTTTCAACGAATCCAATGCGTAGTCACAAGTACGCTTTGCCTGATCTATCACGTTGGGGTGAACGAACAATGCTTATATGTCATGTTATCATTGGTCAAACACATCATGGCCATTCGACGATGGAAACCAATGGAATACAATACGATTCAGTCACCGATGGATCAGAGATTTATGTTGTCTCTTCAAATCGACAAATTTTACCGGAATATCGTGTCACATATAAATATATTTCGTGATCAATTGATTTTCATACTTCATATACGAGCAAAACAAAAAGACGTCTGTTGAAGATATTTTCTCGTGTAATAGTGTACATGTATAATTTAGTCAAGTCAAAATAAATCATATAGGATGAAAGCAAGACCCTCTTTTGCCTATAAATAAATTTAAGATGTCTGATCAAATCATTCTTCTCCAATGAGTTTAATTTCACTGAACGAACATCGTAATGAGTCCAGATACTGATAACATAAATCGATTAATTGTTACATGCAAATTGTTAAACAAAATACAACTATTCGGATACTTCAATCAAGTCACCCGTTCTTCTGAGAATTGATGACTTTATTCTAGTTGACGTTCTTCTTCAATATTTCTCCATCAAATCAAATTGAATGATATTGAATATCGAGATCGTCGAACTTTTCATTGTCAATAGTTTTGATTCATTGATAAGCATCTGAACGCATACAATTTAGATAGAATCCAAAAAAAGAAAGAGAAATATCTTGCTTTCTATATTCTATCTGTCGAGACATGCGGAATGAATCAAGAGACTTTTTTTGGATGTGAGTGTGAACATTTTCTTTGACCACTCCCACATTCACACCCATATTGGGGAACTTCCTGCTGCCCAATAATGAAAGGTAAGCACAAGTGTAGCTTGGATGTGGGTGTAGGTATGGGGTGTGTTAGGAGCAGAGAAACACCTACAACCACCCACATCCAAAAAAGTGAGCTCGAAATTTTGAGTTGACGTACTTTTTTTTGTATTAAATCTTAGATCTATATTATGATCTTGATTCTCATAACTGTCATGAGGCGATTCAGTATAATTCAAAGTTCATCTTTAAATGGTCATAAATAATGAACTCTGGATACAAGCCAAAACTGTGGTAAATACCAAAATGCGTATACTCGAAATTTCGAGCTCACTTTTTTTTATCCAAGAAATGAAAGTTTTCGATCTTGCCGTTCCCGTGCAAACAAATGGAATTTGTTTTTGTTGAAAAGATTATTACTGATAAGACACAAACCGAATGAATTCGACTTCTTTGTACTTGTCGACAAAACAATTATGTTTTGAATGCTTCTTTTTGGACTGAGTTTCTAGTTATGAATACCTTTTTTTTTATTCCTATTCTCCTTTTAATTATAATGTTGCTTCTAATTGAAGATCGAAGTAAAAG